ACAGAGGCGCTGAGAGGCACAAGAAGGGGAAGATGGTGAGCAGCAACGTCACTTAACACATTTCAGTGTTATAAGAAATGGTTTTGATCACATATTCTTACAATCACAGTGATTGTCGAGATGATATCTGTACATTGTACCGTTTCCTTTAAAGGTTTCTTTTAAATTTGCCCAATGTTTGAAAAGAAGCCAAAATACATACACTCACTGTCTACACATGATCACTGGCAGAATTGCTGTGTGCATACTCAAGCCATTGCTTTCCTTTGAGGAATGTTAGGGCAGTAAACCTTATAGCAATGCTTCTTGGGTGTTTTAGATCAGATTACAGCAACAGTGCCCAGTGATGTGGGCAGTTTTCAGTAGTCATTTGATTTAGTTTCAAACTGTGGTTTGCCTCTATGGATGGAGTTGCCATGAGATCATGGCTAGTCAGAGGGTCTCAGTGTCTGAAAGAGAGACAAGATGCAACAGACGGGGAAATTATGACTACCTCTCAGGACCTCATCCAGCTCTTGAGTGAGATGTGAGGACTGCTCAAAGCAAACATCCATTAGACAGCTTTACAAGGATCATGCATCTTCCCAAATTGTAAACGTGCACATTTAATGTCATTCATTAAATCTAATACTGAGACAATGACTCTTTTGTGTATTCATGTGTTAATCCCAAAGACAATGAGCAGTCAGCAGCCTATTTTGAGGAAGACTGGGATGTATTTGTTTGATTGACATGTGTCCCAACCTATCAACATCCATCCTTGGTATTGCTGCAGATGCGACCCTTGTGAGTGCCAACCAGGCAAAAGGAAATTGAAAACTTACTATGATATTCCTAGGAAGGTATGTTTTCATTAGTGTATAATCACTTGTAAGTTACCTTAGAATGTTTTTATCTGTAGGAAGTGGGTCCTCTTCTTACAGAGGCTGCCATGTTGAACCGCCATGTTTTTACCATAGTGCAGAATGAACAAACCAATCACTGGATAGGGCGTTTGGTGGTTTTTGCGAGTTTCACGGCCACCATTTCTCCTGAGCACTTGGAATGGTGAGACAAGGGCATTGCAATCAGCAACTACACTGCTAGAATCCTACACATTGGACCTTTAAAGTCTCACACTGTAACAGATGCTTCACCCTCTAAACATTTTTTTCTTAGGATAATGGAAACAAAAATTGGGGTATTTTTCTTAATAATAATAAATAATAAGAAATAATAACAAATATAACAAATGATATTTTAAAAAATATAGCATGTACTGATTATTTGCAAATGATTATCTGCACATTATTCCCCTTTGTTGACCCATTTTAACACTGTCAGTTTTACTACTAACCATCTGCATGTTAGCATTTAGCTCTAAGCAGCATGGTGCCTAGGTACAGCCTCACAGAGCTGCTAGAATTGCTGTAGATGATGTTATGTGATAATCATGAGGGTGAAGACTTATAACACATTACTAATGACACATTACCATTAGCCATCAGGCCCAACACTTGATCCAGAGCATTGCATCTTAACAGTTGCTAGATATGCGTGATCGTGAGAGTATGGTTCCCATTAATTTAGATGACCCTCTGATCTTTCATCCATGATAAGGTATCTTGGAAACTACTGGCTGGATTTCCATGAAATCTGATGAGGACATTCATTTTCATCCTTCATCATTTATCGTTAATCAGGGGGGTTTCGTGATCTCCCAATATTTCCTCTTGCAAAAATTCCACTTGAGCTTAAGAAATATTAAAAGCTAAATCACAAATTGCAATTTCCAGCCAAAGTATCCTACTAGAGGCCTTTCACATGGAGCAGGACAGAACTTGCATGTTTGTGAGTGCAGCGGAGGCTTTATATAGGCTTAAAGCACTTTGCTTGTCCGCGGGGCTTGCAGCACGGCTGTCAAACTGATTGGAAACTGGCAGGAAACTTGCTGTATGTGTACTGATGTTTGATGGCGGCTCAGACTTGACTTGAAGAGATGAAGAAATACTTGAGTTTGTAGTTTTCAGCTTAATCTGACACACTGTGTCCCACAGGCATTAAGGCATTAGCATTAGCAGAGAGAGTTTAAACAATGATAGATGTGAAGGTATAACAGATGAGGGAAAGTCTGTGACTTCACCTCGCAACAAAGCACTCCTTCACATTACTGTATTTGTGCTGAGAGGCACTCGTGTTATCATAAGACAGTTCCTTGTTATTTCAGCAGTCCTCATCAGTTATTTCATATGTATTTCTAGTGAGTTTTGCTTGGACTCTTCACCCACTATAAAATCCATTGGTATTTAGATTGGAATTTTAAAAAATGAACTGTGGAAAAGAATGTTTTAATTCAGCAGGCATGTGTTATGCTGTAGCATGAGGTCTGTATGTCTTACAGTGCTTGCTATGTTTATTCATTTTTTGAATTTTTTAATAATTCTTTTATCTTGGCATGCTTTTTTAGGGTGTATTTTCATTAAATATTTCTTATTCATGCCTATCATATACATACATTTTTATTCCAATGTCTTATGATGTGTTTGCACTTCCTTTTTTGGGTAACATAGCCTATCAAGTGTTGGGTGGGTGAGCGGCGGTCCACTTACTCACTGCAGCGGAACAGTATGGGCTGGGAAGGGGTGGCCACACCTTTTCTGTTGTGGGATACAAGACTCTACAAGACACTAAACATGGTAAGCAAGGGTGTGAGCTGAGTGTGAAACCACTTGGACGACATGAAGGCCAGATAAGAGTTCAATTCAATTAAATTCAATTCAACTTTATTTGTATAACGCCAATTCGAGCAAGTTGACAACACTGTGCAGGCTAAGACTGGGCTAAGTTACAGAGTGAGGTGTTTTTAATGAATTCATTGTGTGTGATTTAATATCCATCCATCCATCAATCCATCTCTGCTGCTTATTGGGTTCTGTGGCATGATGATAGCAAGCTAAACAAAGTTCCCCACATGCACCTCTTGATCTTCTCTTGGGTCTTCTCCCATTTTGAATACCTCCATAGGGAGGCACCCAAGATGCATCCTGATCAGATGCCTGAACCTCCTCCAGCGGCTCTTCTTTAAATGTGAAGAAGCAGCAGTTCTATACCGAGTCCCAGTTACTATCAATGACTCACATGAAACACTGTGACCCACCGCTTAAATACCAAAACTGGTTTTACATGATCATACATTCCATTTCATCTCAGCAATATGAGCGATTTGAACCTTTCACTTCCATTTTAAACCATGTGCACAGAACGCTGGTCCAATTAGGAGTGTTTGGTGTAATAGCAGAAGTAGGTTTCATCCAAACCCATGTGACCACATACAGGGAGCAATTCTGCAAACAGAGGCAGAAAACGTCCAAGCCTTGAAGAGCTCGGGTAAAAAAGCCTTCTCTTCTTACAATGCAATGAGGGTGAGGTCAAATGAACCTCATAGCTCCCGGAAATGTGACTATTGGAAGTTCTCTGCAAATGTAATAAAAATAACACCTTTGGCTACAATCTGACTACAACCGTCATTCATCAGTTTAGTGGTTGTGCCGAGCAATGAGATATGTTGCTACACATTTTTTGCAGTAAACTTGTCTATATAATATGATATGCAATTAAGTCTCCGAACCATGGATGTGACTTTTTAACTGAAACCCAGGCAAAGAAGTTGAAGTAAAAGGAAAAGAAGCTGGAGCCTATTTTCTTATGAGAAAGTTATAGTCGGCAACACAGGGATAATCACTAGGTATAAAACAAATGCATGCACTCTGGTGATGTCACGCTTTTATTAGGATGTGAGCCTTTTCTTTCCACAGCCGAGGGGGGAAAAAAAATTAATGGTCCGCATATTCCAGTTGCTTCTACAGATGGGTAAACCACCCCAGTGTGTCTGGTGAGTGGGGGTCTCCTCCAGCCCAAACTGGAATGTAGCGGAGTCATTTATCACTCTGAGGTCTATGAGTCAAGAGTAAAGATGTATAATTCCCTTAGAAAAAAAAAAAAGCCATGGTTTAGGAAATCTATGTGAAGCATTTCACAATGAAAAGTTACAAAGCCACCTTTGTACAACAAAACCTTCGATACCTTCAATGCAAAAGGCAACTCGTCTAATGTATTTATCAACAGGAAAAACTCAAATGGGAACTTGAAACCATCGTTTTGCCTCAGCCTGCTGGTAAATCATGGTTGTAGGAAACATAGCAAGCTATTCGGAATAGCAGCGGTGCAAAAGCTATCACCTCAAACTCCCTTCACTCCTCTGACAACAGTATCTGTTTGGTTTGGAGTATTCTTTGCAACATGCTTGCTGCGTGCCTGTGCAGACACCCCTTAATGTATACAGAAGCCCTAAAGCAGAATGAGTCGCCTTTGCTATAGAGCTGAGTGATGGAGAGAGAAAGCTAACCCTTAGGCAGACAATGCTACAAATAGCAGATAGGTGAGTAATGACAGCTCTTCAAAAAGTTATTTATTCAGCCATGTCGGGTTGTAGTTGGTGCAGGTAAGGAGTGTTTGCCTGCCTCGACACTGCCTGCAGTGATCTCTGTGTCTCTTGTCATCTTTTGTTTTTTTTCACCTGTGAGGCCTTGATGATGTGTTGAGTTTCAATGCCAATAATTCTTGGAGAACACCTTCCTCATCTTGTACCGACTTGTGAAAAGAAAGAAACTCAGAAAGATGTTTTATCTTAGCTTGCTGTTTAATGATTTCTCCTCAAATGAACTATTTTCTGGTGTCATTTCACAGCACAGTACTTGCGAGTACTTTCTTAACCCATAATAAAAATATTTATTTTTCAGCAAAATCACCTTCATTGTTATTTTGTGATGTAAACCAACATTTAGATTGCTTCAGATTAATTGGAGTTTTGCTGGAATGGGTTTGAAGTGAAGCCACATTTTTTCACTGGCCTTCGGCCACCATGCCTGCCAGACCATCTGATAATTAATTAATTCTTTGCATGAGTGTATTCACAGGTAGATGCAAAACATGACTGACCCCAAGCAATAATGATAAGAAAAAGGGCCTCTGAGAGACCTCCACCAAGCTCCTCCCTCTGCTGGTGCTGCCTGCAGGTACCAGGGGCTGGTTTGGAAGGGGGGTTGCCGTGTTAGCCAGGAGGTAAGTGTACAAGAATTTGGCAAATTTTAAGATTCAAACTAAGATAAACAGACTACAAACAGACAGCTCTTGTTTTAGCTTGTTAGTAACAACCGGCCATCAGCTTAATAGGTGTGCTGTGGTTGTAACAACTACTGCAGATAAGCTGGAAATAAAGTTCCTCCTTTTTACTGGAGTTATCGTCAACTTGAGTAAAATTTTACCTCCACTTGATTCACTGACTCCACCTCGGCCTCTCTGTTGTCCGTTTTTGTGTGTATGTGTACGAGCCCCACCCTCATACAGAGCAGAGGAACTTATAATGTGAATGAAAGTGAATAATAATTGCCTAATCCGCCCCATGATTTAGATCTGCTCCAAAATGTAATGGGTTCTTCCTTGGCCCATGCTACACCCTTCCACCAAATGGGGCCATTAGTTTTTCCTTAATCCTGCTGACAAACAAACATAAAACCATAACTTGGCAGAGGTAATAATAAACCTAATGTGTATCTTACCAACATCTACAGGTTTATCCAAACCCCAACCAGTAGTCTACAAATGCACATGTTAATAGATACATCTAAAGATGTATAATGTCTGCAGTAGAAAGTAATCCTTTTTTCATGTACACAGGCATGCATTTGCACTTGCACAACAGAAAAATGCCCTGTACAAATATAAATCCACCTTAACCTCTTCAAACCCACTGTCTCGCTAGCAGGACAGCCAGAGCAAAATCATGTTGTGCAGCCAACAATTGCTCAAACCCACAGAATTTTACTATTCCCAAAAGATACCAAATATGTCAGGCTGAATTCTAGAAAAATATGTAAAATGAGCGATGTAGAATATTTGATGGAAATGTGGAGCCATAAAATGTATGAATATTCATGTACTGTCATGCTGTGCGAAATGTGAAATAATTGGTTTTAAAGCTATATAAAAGGAAAATATAGAACATTAGGTGTTAGGAGGCTACAGCAGCTAGTGTTGGGCTTTCTTTTTTTTCACAACATCCATACACTTAACTTAATATATGGAGAAAAAGCACAAAATTCAGTTAGGAACAAAATAGCAAATCTTTATCAGTCCAGATTCCTCTCAGTGCACTGACACGCTCTGGGACGCTGTTTGTTTGGTGATTTCTCTCCTGCAGACTTTATTTTAGACAGATAAAGTCAAATTATAAGAATATATAGAGATAACATATATTTTGAGGCTGTTATTTATGGCTATGTGGTTACATTAAAACAGAATACTATGGCTTGAACATTTGATACTTTGTACGACTTTAGATTCCGGTGCCATAAGACTGATGCTCATATACTACACATATTAAACTCACAACTGAGGAATTAACACATCATTTGTGGTTTACAAGACCAACAACTGGCCCTTTGGCTACCACTGTGGAAAAAAAATATTTGTGCTTCTTCAGACACTTTTTTATTTTACACCTTATTATGTCTCCCTTTGGATGTACATTGTCCCTCTAATCTGCCGTTTTGGGTCTGGAGATATAAGTTATATTTTCATGCATTCAAAATATATCCTTCAAGTTTTTGTGTGTTTCCTTTTATCCCTTTACAGGCACAATGGATAAATCTTCCACCTTCAAACACCTTAACATACTTTTTTGTTGTACCCCTTTCAGAATACAGGAGCTGGGCTGTGTTAACCTATTGCAGCCTCCTTATAGCTTGCCAGTAATAATACTCCATTGCTCCATTGTGTTTTTTACTTGCTTCGCTTGGCACTGTTTGTCTTTTCATTCTTTCATCAGAAACCATGTGTTGTATTTTTCTTTTAATTATCAATTATGCTTCTGCTGTTTTAAAACCCCAATGACTGCCTTCAAAAGGTTCTATACTTACTTCAACTCATGTTTTTTTTTTTTTACTTTGAGTTTGCGCACTGAAGACTTAATAAATAATTACTGAGAATTCACACGTGCAGGAAAAAGGAGGGATCGAGAGAGAGTGAAGAAAGGACCCCCACCCCCCTCAATCCAAGATGAATGCTGGTCGATGACCTCAGTGCTCTGATCTGTTCACCACATTGGACTGGAAAGGCTGAGCTAATTATCCTCGTTTCCTGGAGATACAGGGGCCCGGGCTGGGACTCTCCCAGTCTGGTGAAGGTTGAATCAGTTTACCCCCTGTAAAGTGTGGTTTAACTGCTGAGTCACATTCCCTGGAGTGGGTGCTAGTACAAAGGAATTGTGGGAGGAAAATGTGGCGGTAACACAACACCATGTGCTGCTGGAGTGTTGGAGGTTAGTGTGGGTGTGTGTGTAGGATGCAGTAACGTCCATTTTAGAGGCGGTCTATGACTGACCAGCATCACATGTCTAAGTTCTTTTCATTATTCTTCTCAACACGAGCACCTCCTAAGATTGACATGACAATACAAGTTGTTCTGAGACTCCGCTGGCTGTTAGACAGGCTAGTAATTCAACTCCTTGTTTAGCTTTGTTTAGCCAGAGCAGATATAGGAGGCTGTGCCACACTGTGCACAACTTCATCTGGATGTGGGTTAGTTTGACACTGTTTACACAGTTCCTCTCTGGCAGCAGGCCATGTTTTCCTCTGCGTAGATGTGTCTGGGTTTGTGTTTACGCAGGAGTTGGGCCTTTATACTGCCATCCCAATAAAATCTGTCAAAATCCAGCAGACGTCTTGATGTATGGTTCACATGTGGGTTAAAAGTTGCACTCTAAAGTAGCATTCAGCGTTTGTCATCAGTGTCTCCTACAATTTGGGTTCCCTCATGAAACACACTGAGGTCAACAAATGTTTCCTGTTAGGCCCGGACTGACATAAGCAGTTAAAGTATAAGGAAACAACGAGGAATATGCATTTTGGTTGCATTGCACTGTTTGTCACAAGTTTAAAAATACATTGAATAATTAAAAGGGAGTGTAAAAACAGATATAAAGCTTTGTACTTTTCCTTTAACCTCCAACAAGTTAATAAAATGTTGTTCCTTTACCACTTATCAGTTGATGAAAGAAACTGAAACTTTAATCTTTTACGAGTTCTTTTTATTTCTCCTGCTGTCGTTGTCCTATTTTTAGGATTTTGACACACATTTAATCATTTATCTATTCCCACTCAACATTTCCCATCTTCCTTATTCTTATATCATTAATGAGATGGGTGCGTCCATTGGTCCAGGGTCTGCGTGTGTGCAATTAAGATTTAATTTAATGAACCTTGATTAAAAAAAAATCATCAAATCAATGTTTAATTTAGGTTAATATATAAATGAAGGTTTTAATTTAAATAAATTAAGGTTTACCTAATTGTAACAACTGATTGGTGGTATGGGGGAAAAAAGCTTTTAGACCAGCTGGTTGGTGATTGATGGAATAGTTTAATACTTTATATTTCTTGTTTAATTATTAAACTAACATTATTTATTCATTTATTGTTAATAACTTCATAATACATGTAAAAGCTGTGTCTAACTGCGATGCAGTCAGCACTCTTTTGCATTCAGCAGTGGTGGTGTGAAATGGATTGTTCAGGAATCTTTGTAGAAGCTGAGGCAGCACAGATGTTGTTTGCTAAGTTGTGTTAGTGCTCTTCTACTGTTTTATTCCCTGCATTGTGTGGCTCACCACAACATTCCCCTTAACTTCTCAGGGGGCAGTCTGTCCTCTGCTTGTTGTGGCTTGTGTCAATGCAGAGCTTCTTCTTCTCTTAGTTTTTTTCAGTGGTTTGCTTTGATTTAACATTATTTTTTTTACCCACAAACACGTTTTTTTAACTTAAAATCAGAGTCTAATACATTCTAGAGACTTTCATACATGGGCCTCACATGCTAGATGACAAAACTGTTGGACTGTTCCTTTAAGATGTCCAGCTCTGTTGAACCAGGCTCCCAAGGGCCATGCTTTTCATCATGTGAACATTACAGGCCCAATCCTGCCAACTTCCTTTCAAAATGTCTGCTTTGGCTTCACCATTCTCTAGCACAGGCCTGCACTGGCATTACTCTCAACAAATCATTATTTACAATTCATTTAAATGGTAGAGTATTGTACTCCAAAAGGAAATATGCAATACTTTAGGTTGATTAAGAAGCGTAACAATTTGAGGAAAAATGAATGACTGGAAATGCTTTAATGCCATAATTTACAAGAGTACAACAACATGACCTAATCCATGTTACTAATAATACTATTTGCCTCAAACCAATCACCTGCATGAGCCTCAAAATCCAGTCAAAAGTGGATAATTATTGTAATGAGTGTTATGTTACAACTCCAAAAACCTCAACAATTGATATTTTTGTACCTTCTCCTTTAGAAACAGTAAGCGCATGCAAGCTTTACTAATGAACCATTTTCCAGCTGATTTAACACATTTTCCTCGTAATGCACAGCAGTTCTGCTCTAAGTGTTCCTGGTTGCTATCCCCAATGCCAGATGAGAAGCAATGACACATAAAGATTGAAATTTGGCAGTGGGTACAGAGAGAAGTGGATGAGCGAGCTGTGACTTGCTTATTACTCAGGAAATATGTACACAAAATAAATGAATGGACTCCATAATCCATGGACGAATGAGAGGGAGGAACTAACTGATTTTATATGAGATTATAACCTGGAGAAGCTGTTCAATTACATTGCAGTTGTTTTGTTCTGCAGTTTTTTGGAGGTTTTTTTCAGTTTATCCACCCTAAACATGAGTTGTATTTCCTGTAGTGGAATGTAACTAAGTACAGTGGGTTTATATCTGAGCTTTTTCACTGAAAACAGCTGCATGCTACATCTGGAAAGATGCTGATCAAAGCAGAATGGTGTACCAGAAAACCAAAACAGTGATCTAAAATAGGCTGAAAGACTCCAGAGCTGAGGAGGGATTGATACTTTAGCTAGGTTTCCATTCAAATGTAGTGTAATTTTAACCAAACTTTGAGATAATTGGTAAATGAATGTGCTTTTCTTTCCTGTGCCATTAAACTGTTGTAAAATATGGTGCAACAAGATGACTTAATTACGCCAGTCAAACCTGAAACTTACAGTCTCTTCATCAGCCCACGGAAATCTGATGTCTTCAGCTGCCACCACATGCTTAATGTATGTCATGATTTATTTGCTAAGTCTGTTCTCATTGCACTTTGTCGCATGTTACTTTTATTAATACAAGAACTTTGACATCTCAGTGAAGCGTAAAAACTTTTTATTTTAGAATGTTCAGCATTTCTACTCTGGCAGCACTTCAGAGTACAACACGAGGACTGAGTTGTCACTGGGGAAGAAAGGTGTTTGAACAAAGTGAAATAAATGACTGGCCGTCTTGAAGTGTTATTTCTCTCTGCGAGACCTGTAATCACTTGACGGACAACCTTGCCCCTGGGCCTCAAGACCTGAGCCTCAGGTACCGATGGAGCCAAATGAAACATCCTGTAAGAGCACCTGAGGAAGTCTGTCTGAGGTCACAAACAAGCTTTAAAGCAAGTGATTACAAACACACACATTTACATTCATTTAAAAATAACAATGTTTAAATCATTACAGTGCGTAAAATTATCACGTTATATGTTGCTTTTTTTTTACTTATCCCTACATATATATATTTCACACTTGCTGACAATGTTAATATCAATACAATACAGTCTCTTCGAATTGAATTGACATACCCTCTGAGTTCATCCAACGTGCTGTGAGAAAGGTCTGTGTGTATGTGTGTTCAGCATTTTGCACAGCTGACTCAGTTCCACTTAAGCGACAACTGATCTCCTCTGTTCCTACATTGGCTCTAAACCCCGCCCTCTGCTTCCATGTTTGACACTGTAACAATATTCAGACGGCGTTCATCTTGTTAAACTGGTGTTGCGGCAGGGGGAGGGTGAAATCATCTTCATCATCAAATTGAAAGGAATTCACAGCAGGGAAATCTTAACACAATAAGCGACGTCCCTGCTTCCATGGGAACAGCATGATAGAAGTTCTCTCTCTCTCTCTCTCTCTCTTTAATGACAGTGGAAAATGTTCCATTTGGATGATCTTCCAGCTGTGAAACGTCTGTCCTGCAGATTTAAACATCTTTCATCTTTCAACATTAACAGGGTCTTCTGACACTATTATAAAGTCGGTCATATTCCTGTTTTGACAGGAGATTGTGTAGCACCACCTGCCATTAACTGATCCAAAGAACGCAAAAAAATCATAAATTTTGATTAAATGTAAAAACGCATTAAATGCTTGTTCTCCATTACCACAGAAGTTTTACTTGTCTTACTCCAAAGGATATTCCGTTGGCATTTCCTTTTATTTCAAGCAACTTTTTAGTAAATATGCTGAGATGCCATACATGATACACAAGTACGTCTTGAAATGTGTAATGTCTTTTATATTTAAAGTTAGGGCTCCCTCTAGTGGAGTGAATCCATATGGCATATTGGCACATCTGTAGTTGCCTGCACAGATGGACAGATTTTCTTCCCTCTGTTTCAGTGTGTTTACTTTAACTTGGTTAATGATGCCTCACAAAATGTATTTCAAAAATATTTCTGTGTTTATTTTGTGTACAACTTTCTGTTGTTTGGATGGTTAAATATGATAATGTCAAAGCCTGACAAAGGTCAAAACATTACAGATGAACAGAGATTAACATTGCTTTAACAAATCTATTGAGAGCTGTCTAACTATTTCTGTTTCCTCCTGTTAAATTTTGCAGATGTGCAGACTTTCCTTTATTGCCAATACCACTGACAGTGACCGTAAACTGACACCTGGTAGATGATCTGCCTTTAAACCTCTCTTAGCTGCCAGCTGTGTAACTTACACAGTTGAATATAACTGTACAGCTGCTATATTCTGGCTTCCTTTGTATAAACTTCACAAGCAATACATCTCCTCCGAAAGATAACAGAGATGTCACTCCAAAGAGTATTTCATCTAGTTCAGTCAGACTTCATCTGAGGCAAGTTTATACCACCTGGTGAACATCAAAATGCATTTGGACTTGAGGATAATTGACCGTGGGCAGCTGTCTTTTTCAGTTGGAACAATTTAACAAATGTAATTGTGACTGGTTGTGCTTTTCAAAGACACAAGACAGAACTCAGACCTAAAAAATTCAGGCATACAGATAGACACACTTCATGTATATGCAAGGAAAGAAGATAAATGTAATCCCCCCATCACTGCCCTACCCATTTACTCACCTGTCCCCACTTCTCTCATAAGCCCCGTAGTTACCTGACCTTTCTTGCCCACCTGCCTACATGTATCCATCTACGTACGTGCCTGGTTGTTTGCCTGCCTGTCTGCCTAGCAGTCTGCCTGTAAAATATATGATCAATAAATCACTGAAGTCATACTGCCTTCTCTGTCTGCGTTTGGGTCCTACCGCCCTGCATAACCAGCTGTGATACTTTTAATCTCCAGCTATTGGGAACATATCAAATTTACGACTGAATATTTAACTATATACTTTCAAACTGCCATTGATGAGAGGGATCAATATGTCTTTTGGGCTTGCTGATGTATTGTAAGCTACCAGGTTAGGTAAGTACTTTGATTATAAGCTATACATTTATGGCCACACTTGGATTTTTTAAAAAAAAATGTATTCTTTAATGAACCTTTGAGTAGATGATTTTCTTTACACTGAGTTGTTGGGTAATTTGTAGACCAGTACAGGGCAAACCATGCTATTAACTAATATTGTAAAGAATCTACTTCAAGCATATATACTTTTATGCAAATTAGGCCTAAGTGCTTTATTCATTAAATTGTAATTTTATTTCTAAAACACATAAGTGGAAAATCACAGTGCTCAGTATTGCAAATATAGTCTTGTGGCTGGATTTCTCCTTCACCCAGCTGGGACAATGGCAGTGTGCACTGCAATAGAAGCCATTTGGTGACTACTTTGGAGAGAATCTGGTTTGTGAGTAGGTGGGAGGGGGTATTTTAAGATTGCTGCCAGTTTCAGAGCAGGAGGTTTGATTCTTTTGAAGCAGCACGTCCCACTGTAGAGTGTTTCAGGCTCAAACAGGATTATTCAAATTAATACATATTTTCCTCCTCATCCAACACAAATGTAAGGCAGCCGCAGAGAGAGACAGTGGGGTCAGAAGTGTCCCAGTGTCTGCAGACAATGGTTAAATTCAAACATGACATTTGACCTGTAACATTTTTATTTTTAACCAACCACTACCCCTCAACAAGCTGTAATAGTTGGTAATAATGCCACACAGGTTTAAACAATGAAATAATCATTCAAATTAGCACAAAAAATGGGGAACATGGGGCTTTAGGGGTCCGTACGGGTCTGGGCCACAAAACAGTTTCCTGGTTAATAACCCATCTATCTCTGCACTCTGAATAATTTGAAGCATTGTTGCCACACAGTGGCAGCAATATCACTTGTCAGAAGACAGAATAATACAGCTGTAACACTGTGTGGATAAACTCATTTCTCTCTTTAAAACTTCATGCAGCCTACTGTCATCACTCTGTGCCTATTTTTCTGGATTTCCATATAACCTACTATATGTTCTTTAATTAAACTAGTTGCTTCCTTCTTCAGTTTAAAGTTTCAAAAGCTGGAACCTTGGTTTGAATTAAAAGTAAATATACTGAATATAAATGTATTTCCATAACTAATTGAATATAATTTAAATAAGGGTGCAGCTCCTGTTTTCCTGTTTTTGTTTTTACTGTTGCAAATATACACAATACAAATCCCTACTGCCACTGCTACTACTAGCAATGATAATCAATAATGATAATGATGATGTTAGAGTAATATATTACCCACCAAGCTCCCTTAAGACAAAACACAAGGGGCTCAGACAGCATGTTGTTGTTCATCCATCACTGACTTCAGATAGGCAGGTTTTCCTCCGGAGTCACGTGGTGCTGTGAGCTGAGCATCCTTCGCAGATCCAGCAGGCTGTGTGGCGTGTCTTCACTAGGTTACGGTATGGACCAGTACTGCTGCTGCTACCGCGTATAGTCACAGCATCTCTCGCTTCTAGTCCCCCCCCACCCCACCCCACCCCAACCACCACCGCTGGACTGCTCTCCGAAATCGCAGGTGAGGCCACGAATACGAGTGCTTTGCAAAATGCCAAACGTTACAGCATTGACTTTCTGCAACCACGCACAGGCATCAAAAGGATGCTGAGTCGCTGTTTGGGTACTTGCTATGCAACAAAGACGTGCATGTGCGGTGAGCAAAGGATGCGAGTGTGTTTGTTTGGCTCGGACAGTAGACATGCAACCTTAAACACCGGCGCTGGAGAGTCTGTCCTTGCAGGTGGAAGTGTTGCCTTCGGGTGCAGAGCTTGCACCGAGAGGCTGAGACGTCTTCATTGTGTGCAGGTGGCGAACAGCGCTCCGGAGGCGGTGGCTCGTTGGTTGTAGTATGTTGATACTCGTTGTTGTTGGTGGTGCTGCAGTGTTTTCATCCTGTATCATTTACAGCCGTCACTTCTTAATTCAAAAAAACACACACGTTAAAAGCTCCATATGTCATCCGTGAGCCGTGTGAAACAGTGTTGAGTTCAAGTTCAGACAGAAGCTGGAGGTTGTTGGGTCACATAGTAATGACTCAGCAACAATCGGCTGCTGAGGAGGAGAGTAAACTAATGGCGCTTCACAGGATTTCCTATAAATTGATGGGGTTAAAGCAGCTTGGCTGGTTAGTCCTTGAGGAAAAGCAGATGGGTGTGGTAACCTGACACATTTCAGCTTCAATGTTTTATAAATAAGGAATTTCAGAATTGAGTGCATGTATTGATTGTTGTACCACTTAATGTCTGTGCAAGGAGAGGCAGAGAGTGGGCTTTTAAAGGCTGTGTAAACTACAGGAGATGCTCCTGCAGGGTTCGAGCTCAGAATCTATAAAATCTTAAATATTTGGCCCCTTCAGGTAATCTCTTGAAATGCACCGGCATATTAGATCTCATATCTATTATTATTTACATGCAGTAATACCATTACTCATCTTACACACCCAAAAGGGATTAAAGGGTCACTTCACTCTAATTCCATGCAGGCTTCATTATAAGCACATTTTCTTTCTAACCTCTAGTGGTGTCTCATCATACAGTAATGATGTGTCTCCACCCCAGTACGGTGTCTGAAGCCATGCTAGCAGCTCTGCTATCAACTACATTAGGATGTGAACATTAGCAGAAGTAATCTGTTTCATTCTGGATTGGAAACAAGTAGAAAAAAGACATTGTGGTTTGATGAGCATGCAATTTAGAGGGATTTACTGACCATCGACAGTTAGCTTAACGTTAGCCACCTTTAGCTGTGTGTGTGTGTGGGGGGGGGGGTGGGGGGTGTCGTGCCTATGTTCCCACATTTCTAACATTTCTAAGATTTTTTTTTTCAAAATTAGGCCCTATGTTCCCACATTTCCCCAATTTGGTAGCCCAACCCATAGGTACACCCAACCTATTCCCTAACCCTAACCCTAACCCAATGTAGGAACACAGGACCTCATTTTGAAAATGTCCTAGAAATGTGGGAACATAGGGCTGTGGGCCCATTGGGCTGAGGGCCCATTGGGCTGACCCCCTGTGGGGTTCGTATACTTTTAAACTTTGAATGAAACCAGCTGATTTCTGAATGTTTACCACTAGCTAACATTAGAAAGCCTTCTAAGAACAACATGCAGGGTTCCCACTCTTTTTAAGAAATCATTTTCCAGGACAGCACTTAATCACAAACAGTCATATGGTTTTCCAGGTAGGCCTAGCATTGACGCATTTAACCCCAGTTTGATTCCTCCTTCGTGAAAGTGTCTCAGGTTCACTACAGGAAGGTGGTCAGCGTTTATGGGACTTGGCTGTTCTCAGCACAGCAGATTTTTGACTCGTTTTCTACAGTTTTTCTCTTACTGTAGCATCGATGACTCAACGCTGAAAAGCCTGCGCACTGGTCCTACCAAGAGTTGAGTTTCAAACTTAATATCACCCAAGTTTATGTTGGCGATCTGAGTGAGAGGCTAAAATACAATTCAAATTTTCCAGGACAGATTATTTCCAGGATATTTCGGCATTTTAATGAATTTCCCATGACAAATTGTCCAGGGATTCCAGGTTTTCCAGGGCACATGGAAACCCTGAACATGTAAATTAGACAATTACCATGAGCCATATTTCTCCTTTTCTGGTTGAGACTTCAACTCCCCTCTCCTCCAGTGCCTGTGCTAAGCTAACATGTTCTGCACTATCTGAACACACGGGAAGCAAACTGAACATAAAAGCTGACCTCCAAATGTCAAAATAAGAGCATTACTGAATTTCAAATTATAATACCTGACACTACTTATTACTGAAAAAGTAATCACGCCACGTTGCTAAGAGCTACTGCTAGAGTCAGTTAGGATGCTACAATAATTATCCAGAGGGGTTTCCTCCTCTTCAAAATAAATGGATCCAGTGATTAAAACAGGTAACACAGAATAAAGCAGTTTCACCTTAAAAATCTGTGTTTCTCCGATGCTGTTTGGCAGACACAGGCTGCTAACATTTGCTCACCTTGTTTCTCTGATAACATGTCCGATGACTAAAATCCTTCATCCGGTTAAAATATAGTTAATAACAAGCAAGATCTAAAAAGCCTATTGTAAAAATGGGCCATAAAACTGGATAAAAAGTCAAAAAGTCAAATTATGACAGCTTCTGGCAGATAACAATGCTGATGGATGTGCAAAGTGGATAGTGGACGACCGGTGAAACACACCGTTGCTGGCATACAATTACAAATTTATGTGGGTTTGAACATTGTTGGAAACATTTGGATTAATGTAAGTATGCAACAAAATGTATAGGTCTAGTGTTTATAGCCATATTAATGAGGAAATGTTACATATTATATCTTTAACCATTTACTTCAGCCTTGTTTTTACCAGAGTCGGCAAAAGGATGCTATCGCCAGTCTAAGCCACCCATATCTCCTCACCATAAACACTGAGCGCTGTTGGATTTGGGGGGGGGGGTATTTTGAGGTTGTTGCTGATTGGACAAGTAGACATCAGTGCTGTCAACACCTCCAGCACTGTACTTCTGTCCTTCACAAAGAGATAACAATTGTCAACTCCAAATTATGCTTAAGCAGCGCACTTTTGAGGGGCAAAGAGCGACGCCCAAGCATGACTTAAGGGCTCTTTTTGCTTTATCTCTGTTTAAATCACTTTCACATACAATTGTGTATCAGGCAGTGTTAGTGATTTCAGTGATATAAGTGATATAGATTACAGATACAAACCTTTTTGCTTAGTACCTGTATACGTCTTTGGCTGTGGCCTGGCAACATCACAGTGTTGAAGTTTGAGGCCTTTGTAGAACTATGAGCCACTGTGTCTCTTCAGTTTGCCGCCCACTTGTCTCTAAATATAGATCTATACATCAAGAAATAGCTCATGGCTCAGTCTGGAGTGGCTTGATCTGGCCTGGAGTCGGGGGGGTTGTTACTGGGGCTTGTGAATGCAGACTCTGCTGGTGACTCTGGCCAACAGGAGAACAGAATACTATGATTGCACTGTGTTTTTTGTAGGGGACAGCAAAGTCAGACGTATGACGTGTTGGCAGGGCTGCCTGTTGATTAAAGCAGTGCAAATATGTGAGTTAAGTACTGAGTAATATTAGTGGTGCTAGAGAGTGATGTGTGTAGTTTAACAGTTTAACTGTGGTTTGCAGTAGCTCTTACACTCTCCCTCTGCACTGTATGTGAAGTCGTGTCCATGTTTGTCAGTACTGTGAAACTCTGCAAGATGTCTCTGCACTGATGCCAAGACTAATTCTTCTTCAGTTTTTGATCAAAGTTAATCACTCTTTGGTTTCTTCAGTGCCATAATAATTTCCAGACAATATATTTTAGCAATTGCAAAGAGTAGCATCCTGTAAGGATCACGAAGAAACATTTTATAATGAAAATGGTTGAGGGGTGAGCAGCCACAGACTCTTGCTGAGGGACAGAGCTACAAAAATATGAAACATTTTATAACAATTTACATGAATAAAGTAAATGGAATAACAAAAAATATAATAGATTCACTAATTGGCACTTTTAGTTGGTGTTTTATACATAAATAAGATTGAAATATAAGTTTGATAAAGTGCTTTACCTTTTTTAATGAATCACATAATTAACATACTCTATTTAATCACAGAGAAAGTCTATTACTCTATATGCTATCCAAACAGCAGATGCATTGGATCAACATGACAAAAATACAGGTTTAAAGCAAGAATGTCAGTCCAACTGAAGATTAATAGTGATACTCACTAATATATGTTATTCATTACTGCTTTTAGACTGTTTACAATTCCCCCTCCGATGATTGAATCCCTGCAGCCATCTGGAGGCCACAGGCCAGATATGAGTTTGGCATCTGTAGTCTAATTTGAAAAGTGCTGCACCGAAGCACAGTGCCATTGGGCACGATGATCCACTGTGGTTACCTTGATTAACTGATGTACAACAAACACCAGGCTGTTGGAGAATAGCCACACAAACATCTGTGCATATCAAACTGTTCACTTTTAACTAAGTACGTCTTTCCCTCCGTCTCCGTTTCTCTCAGGGGTCTAAGAGCCTGGCAAAACTGCCATTCCATTAAATTCTTAAAATGCATTTTGGCTTCTGATATAATGTGATGCAGCAAAAATATGACTGCGGTATTTGTTGTTAAATTTCAACTTAATTTCAACTTTGCTCTGGATATAAACAGGTTAAGTATTAATAATTAATGGAATCATAAATGACTTGAATAAACGTGTTATTGTGCATTGGCAGTGTGGTGGTATTATTATGAGATGTGAACATATGCATACTTCTCTAAATAAAATCTAATGGAAGTCAACCTTATTATTTACTTAAAGGTCCAATGTGTAATATTCTATTGGCATAAATTAAATATTCATGTTTTCATTAGTTTATAATAACCCGAAAACATTTATCTACAGTGGCAGCGGGCCTGCTTCTATGGAGTCCGTCATGTTGAACCGCCATGTTTCTACAGTAGCCCAAAACGGACAAACTGGCTCTAGAGAGGACCCACAAAATCCTACACACTGGTTTTTAAGCAAATAATCCACATAGATCTAAAACACAAAGTGGATTAATACTTTTAAATATTCCCCTGTTCCTCCTTCTGATTGGCATTTGCCATATTTTTCTTAGTAATAATAAACTTTAGGTAAATATCTTTAGGTTTTTTGAGTCATGCTCGACAACACAAGACCCTGGTTGACATTGCCCTGGCCTAGCAAGTTTGTGTGTGTGTGTGTGTGTGTGTGTGTGTGTGTGTGTGTGTGTGTGTGTGTGGTTTTTATGGCACACTGTAAATAGAAACCCTCAGGTTAAAGGTCCAGTGTGTAACATTTAGGAAGGTAGAGAATGAGACAATTTTTATTTACAGCCACCATGTTTCTACAGTAGCCCAGAATGGACAAACACTCGCTCTATAGGGCCTATCGCGTTTTTTCACAGCCCAGTAGTTTCTGATTCGAGCTTGGAAAGGGGGGGTGAAGTGAACGACTTGTAATCTGCAACTACTCCACTAGATGCAACTAAATCAGACACACTGGACCTTTAGGTACTTGAGTAAATGTTTCCATTGCAGTTAACTGGCTAATTGTTTCTGCCAATTCTAGTACATAATTTCATCTCTTCACCTCCCTAACCCTTGTTGAGATGGTCATGTCAGCACTTAATTTGAACAAGGCAGCTGTCTTTAAATTCTAAATGGAGGAAAAAAAGCCTGAATAAGAGTACTTATAAAGTCAATTGGCTTTTCTTAGAGTTCCCACAGTAATCTCATCAAATCAGATGTCTGACTCACATGAAAACACCTGTCTGGCTTTCGTATGCGCCAAACTAGCTGCATTACAGTGTGATAATCACAATAACAATCACATTCTTTTCTTTTTAAGTAAAGTTTTATCATGTATTTTATATTTTTAGAACATAATTATTCTCTCATCAGTGATATCTTTAGTGTTTCTTGGTAGTTGAAATTGAGGATCAGTGTGCATGCCACAATAAAACATGTGGTTGATTATGTTAAGGGTTCCTGTTTTGAGTCACCCTCATTATAAGTATTGTAGCCCCGACATTCACAAGGTTTTGTTTTGTTTTTTTGTTTTTTTGTCTGTTGGCATTCCCCCCCCCCCCCCCACAACACAACACAACACTATCAATGTCTGTCACTTATTTATGTCAGCGTCCCCTTCACACATTCAAAGGGCGAGCCATTCAGAGCTCTCTGATTACCCAGCTGGTATGAAGGGGGTGGGACACTTGATATTACTGTAGCAGGGAGTTAGGTGGCGGGTGGGCTGGGCAGGAGCTGGGTCAGCTTTGGTCAAGGTGACTACACACTCCACTGGTGGCCAATCAGGATGACACACTAGCTCTTCAGACACAATGGAAGGTAGGAAGGAACGTGTGTACAATGGGGGGTATATTTTTCCATAGCGCATTCGGGGGACAAATACTACTGTATGTACTGAAAAGGTGTGAGGTGGTGGAAGTTGCCTACATGTGCAGGCTGTTTATTGAGCTGTCAATACAAAGATCATTTGCTTTGTAAGATGTATTATCCATTAAGCTAGTGAGATAATTCTGCACTTCAAAACTACAAATGCTTAATTTTTTCATGCATTAATGGACTGAAAAATTATAAAACACTTTGCTTTCTTCTGACTTAATCACTGGACTTTAATTAGCTGGATTTTAAGCAACAAGGGTCAAAACCTAGTTTTTGAAATCAATTGATTCGAAAGACTTCTCCTTAGAGATGCAGCACAGCGTAATGGTGCCGTATTGTGCTCAAGAGAAAACCCCCAAACTGTTCTTCATGCTCATATCAATAGCATACTTTTATTTGTGCAGCGCCTTGTGCATAATGTGAGCTATGAGCCAGCTGTAAATGTCTCAGAGGGAGCAAATGAGTCAGCTGAATAAAACTGAGGCAGATGTAGAGCCTCTTATTCTGACAGTGGGAAAACAGCAGCTCCAAACAGGGTGGGTCACTTGGGAATTATCGGCTATATCCCCTCAGTTCCCATGACTTCTTTTTGTCCACAGTATCTAATATTCACATGATGTATGCTAATGTTGTTTTTGGTTTGTTTTGTGTCCTCGCTGCATGCACTGTTCTAACTCAGTAATCCTTGTTAAAGCCTCCACAAAACACTGAACCTGAGACACACACTTGATTCATGAAATATCACTGCTCCTCGCTGTATGCTTGTCAGCGATCACTTAAGCACAAGTGATACAATTAATGGAACAATACAACAAAATGAACAGTACAAAGGCAGAGTAATCCCTGCTCTTCAGAGCACATTTGACACAGGAGCAACACATTTTGGTACTCCCTATTCAGTGCCTTATGTCGAATGGAAACACTGCAAATTGACTAGAATTCTGAAGACGGAGTGACTATATCTTTACTGGAGTAAATGGCAATTGTTTGGATCGCCCTCTCCTACACTGCCCAGAATAATTACAGAGCAACAATCCTTGGCATGTTTGCATGGATGAGAGGCACCTGTTTTCCTCGTTAAAAACCAAAATAATCAGTGGTGTCTATTTTGGCATCATCGGGATAATTGAGCGTTCCCAAGGTGCCTTCTCTTGTTTGTTTATGTGCGTGCTTGCAACAGTGATTTTCAAATTAGACTGATCATTTTATCTTCAGCACACCACCAGAACCAACTTGTACATCTTTACAATAAGTAAATCTGACGCGAGTATATTGCTATCCAAAATACTTAAAATCTTCACTCAATCACTCAATCATCCACAGTTTAATGTATATTTCTATATTAGCAATGGGCCATGTTGAGTGTGCCTAATGTCAAACGGGTCACTTTTAATGTTTATGTTATAAACGCACAGATAATGTTTATCCAGCTCCACAGTTCCCCGCATCATTTTGTTTTCATGGCCACAACTTCTCTACTAGGGTTCACTCTCAAGACGCTCATGAACCTTCCTTCCTCGGAGCAGTCAGCTGCAGAGAACAGCTCAGATAAACCTACTGTACACGACCTGATCACTACCAAACAGCAGACAGACTAAGTTAGCAACTAGCTGGTAAACATAGTGAAGCATTCAACAGCTAAAGAGAAGGATGTTTCTCTCAGGAGTTGGTGGGGACCAAAATAGAGCTGAAAGAAAGGCGGACATAAATAAATTGAACATTCGCCAGTGAAATATGTGGTTGATTTTGTGTTGGCACCCAGCCTGTTCTGAGTCACCCTCATTATTTGTATTGAAGCCCCGTCATTCACCAGGTTTTGTTTTCCTTTTTTTGTGACTGTTGGCATTCCTCACCTACTCCTGACCCCCCCCACCACAACACTATGTTGGATCTGTCACTTAGCCAGGTGGACAGAGACACGACTCCAAATGACGCTCATGTTGCTCTGCGACTGCTCAGTATGTAAGCAGCTGTTTGCTAAAATGCTTGCCTGAACAACTTTAGAAGGCGATAATATGCCCTCCGTTCACAGCTTGTGCCACCACACGCAAGTGACCCAAAAATCTAATAATGCTGCTTTAAACTGGGACAATGTATTAATTGGTATTTATGACACAGTTATACAACACAGATTATGACATAGAGAAGCTCATGGGGAGGTATCCAAGGCTTGGTGTTACCAGCCAGAAAAAAACTTAATTAATACATGATGGGCATCTCCAGACTGCTGACAGGGTTAGTAAATATCAGATCTTTATAAAGACAGCTCCAGGCGGTAAGTTTAAAATGGCTGTTTCCCAAGATAGTCTTGACCCTGGTTTTGTTTACTACATGACCAATACACAAATCATTTTCTAACTAAAAACAATAACTATTACTTTCCCAACACTAACTTTGCACATGGTGAGAAAATACATACAAATTAGGCTTGCTGAATGTTTGTCCAAAATGATTCTTGCTTTTTTTTTTTTTTGGCTTTTTAGTGAAACTTAGATGAAATACCACTCTTATGTCTGTATGTTAAATATGAAGCTACTGCCAGTTAGCTTAGGTACGATTGTAAACATGGGGAAATAGCTACAACAACATCTGCATACCAGCAACTTTAAATATTAATGATGGACAGTTTTAATTATCACCATGTTACCAGAGAAAAGGCAGAGATTATCACTGTGGACAACCAGGAATTATTCTGTACAAATAATATTTTTTATGTCATTTTATATTGGAGAGTGACAGTAGAGCCCCAAACACTAAACACTGAGAGAAGAAGTATTACAGTAGAGGCTTGTGGAATGGGATGAAATGTCACATATTCTAAGAAGAAACGTGTTACAAGTAATACTTTCGAGAATGCAATGTTGCAAAATAGGTGTTAATGCAGATCAGTGTGTAATGTTCACCATTACTTCAGTGAGATACCAAAAGTAAAACGGGTGTGACCACACCCTTCCTTTGAGTCCAGACGGGGAACAACACCCACTCTGTCACCATGGCAGCTTCTAAAAACACCACAGGGAACATGTAGATCATAAGAGATTAATTTTTAAAACATTATTTTTAAATCATACCATCATTTGGGTGGGAAGCAGCAGTGAAATGCCGTGCTATCAGGATTAGGTGCTTGATTAAGTATATAACCACACACATAGAGGAAATGCATTGATTCATGTTTTATTTTGCCAAAATTTCAAAAATGTAATCGAAATATGCAAAGCATTTTATATAAACCTAATTATTTACTTTTGTATTCATTTCAAAATGTGGGTGTATGTTTCTTGCAATTATCCTTTTCAGTGTTTTCAGTGCATTACTGTATGTGCGAATGGTTTCTGCCCAACAATTGCTCAATATTCCTCATATCAGATCGTAACTTGGTCTCTCCTGTCCACTCTCCTGCAGGTTATGCCACCCCAAAGGCTTCCTGGATCCCCAACCGTGAAAGAGAAAGGCTGATCCCCGTCTTCCCCCAGCTTCCTGCTTCTCTGAACCCCATCTTTCCTTCCTTCCCTCTCCTGCTTATTCCCCTCTCCCAACTGCTCTAACCCCACCCAACTCCCACACCTGACGCAGCCACCCCTGTCACCCTTTACCTCTTGGACTGTTCGTCCAGTCGCACCTTTCCCCCCACAAATCCTTCCCCACAGAAACTCCATAGCCGGAATCTCTGTTTAGTGTTGTTCCAGCCACCCCAGCCGTCGTTTCTGCAGACCCTTGTCCTCGTCATAGAGCTATTCTTCACCCACTGGCTGCACGCCAGGCCCCATGGCTACAGGAGGTCGTGCCCCAGAGATAGATGTGTTGATTAACCTACGACAGGTAAGAGGCTTTAAATAAATCTGTACATTACTTTGGTAAAAAAAAAAGTGATAAAATTCACTAATTTCTTCACCCCATTTGGAAACACCAAAATGTGAAGTTGTCTTTTGCAGCTCTCATGTCAGAATGTCTCGAACCTTCGTTTTTTAAGCAAAGACAAACCACACGCTGTTGGTTAATCCAGAGCTACTCAGTTCTGCCATGCAGCCCAGTGCTTTGAATGGCATAACTTTGTGACACATCCAACAGCTTTCAGTTTGATTTGAATTGCCCTAATTAGACCCCAGAGCTCTCCCGAGCAACTGAGTGAGTAAGAACAGTGGGAGAGTCCCTGTGGCGAGTTGCAAGGTGACGTGGGCTCCTGGTGATTTAGTCTTGTTGATTCCAGTCATGGATTTTTTTGTAGAAAGTGTACTGAGGAATTATTATTATTATTTAGTTGTGTATTCCTGTCAAATTCACAAAATCAGTGAACATTCACATATTTAAAAGAACAATCCAGCATTTTGGGTAATGCGTCTGTTCACTTTCTTGCTGAGAGTTAGATGATAGAGATCCATGCCATGTATGTCTGTTAAATATAGATTTAGAGCCAGGAGGTGATTATCTTAGTTTAGCATTCAGACTGGGAACAAAAAACAAAAATACCTACCAACTGCTCCTAAGATTACTAATGAACACTATTTCAATCAGGAGAGTATTCATTTTGAAGGGGTTGGTGAAGCCATGAGTAGTACGAGGAACCCCCTGATGGAGTCTAGACACTGGTGGTGATGATGAAGGGATGAAGAGAGTGCTGAAGATCTGGATGTAATGTGATAAGAAGTGGACTTGTGATGGGCTCAACCTGGACACTAGATATGATGAACTGCAGGAGAATGGGGTGGAGGAGGGTTGCAATGAATTTTCACTGAAATGACAGCTGAAAGCAGCAGAGAGGAGAACAGGTTTAAAGTTGGACAGCAAAAACATGATTGGCCGGAGGAGATCGCGGCATTGATTTAACTGAAATGTAAACTGCTCAGCTGATTAAGATGGACAGTGAGAACGAGAGAAGGTATTGTGAATAAATGAGGCATAGAGATAGTCTTCTTGATTGAACTTGTGCTGAGCTTCTTGTGTCTGATTTGTTTTTGTTGGTTTTGTGCTTTTACTCGGAGTTGAGCGCTGCAACTCGAACGGTGGCAGGTTGCAGTGTCTTCCCGGGTTCTGCTGCCCGTCAAGAAATAGATGCAGCACCTACAGTAACTAACTCTAAAACCACAAACTGTCCTTTTTCCATTGTGGTACAATAACGTGTCAGTTGGTCAGCTTTAGAGGTTCTGGTAAGCATATGTTTGTAACTTTGGAAAGAACTGGGATTGATACCTAACACACACATATCTGAGAGTGCTATTGGTGTTCTCATCTTACTCTCTGCTATAAAGGAAATATGTGATTTTCCAAATGTCAAACTATTCCATAAAGAGTTTAAAATTCAAGAAAAATAGGAGAATATTATTATGCTGTCTTGGTTATAACAGTAAACAGGACTTTTGTGTGGTTTGGGCTGGATCCATCCCGCGAGGCCATTTGCAGTATGCAAACCACTGAATACAAGAAAAATAATATGATTTTGCCTTTTCTAATGGCAGTGCTGGTTTTCATTGTGGGATATAAAAGTAAGGGAAGTGAAGGAGGGATACTAATTCTTTTTGGAAAGTGACTGTCGTCTGAAGGATGGAAAATGGATATGCAAATGTGGACTGCTGAGAAGTGGAGGAGGGTTTGACTTTGCAGGAGAAAAAGTATTATGCCAAATATCCGAAGGGAGAAATCTGGACCATGAGTGTGTAGGAGATGTTACTATGTCAGCTTGTACGATGGAGTCATGCCCAGTGAGCCAGTAAAAGAGTTCTTTAGAGCTACAGTGGGTTTAGTAGGAGACAGGGGACACTGATGCTGGCAGTGTGGCTGGGAGAAAGAAAGACTCCATGGGCTTGTTTGTCAGATAACTATGAAAATGCTTCGCGCCTGTGTTAACTCATTACTTAGCTGCAAAATCTCTAACACCCATTTTACATTTTCACACCAATCTGTTGCCAAATAGCTTCTTTATTAAAGGCCAGTGAGCAATGTATGTTGCATGTGGTATTTTCTGTTTCCCAAATTGTCTCTTTTCTCAACCGGATCTGGTATTTCAAAGAGAAGCATTTGGCTGTAACTGTTTTTAACCCTCGGGCCAGTGCTGCCCTTTTTCAAATGGCACTTTTGATATTGTTGCAATACCGTGAAAAAGACATTTTCAAATCAAGTACGCTATGCATTATGTTTTAACATTAGTTTGACATTTATTGACGGTATAGATTAGAGGTCCAGGGTGTAACATTTAGGAGGATCTATTGGCAGAAACGAAATATAATATTCATAGGCATGTTTTCATCAGTGTATAATCAACTGAATCTAGTTTTTTGTGTTTTCATTACCTTAGCCTGAGCAGTTTTTATCTACTGATGCCGCGGGTCACCTTCCATGGAGTCTGCCATGTTGAGCCACCATGTTTCTACAGTAGCCCAGAACGTACAAACCAAACGCTGGCTTTAGATAGGGCCTTTTGCATTCTTTAATAAGTAGCTTCTCCCACACACTTTACTTTACAGCCTGTTCTCATTCTCAGGTTGTCAAATACAGAAGCAAGCTATGTTCAGTTAGTTGCAATCTTCAACTTCACTGCTAGATGTCAGTAAATTCTACACACTGGTCCTTTCAAAGTTTTCCCAAATATTCACTGGTTTTCCCAGAAACTGAATAAGTGGCAAGAATATGTCTGGCATTTCTAGCATTTTCCAGCAAATGTCACAGCAGAAACTGTGCATGCGTTTTTGATAAATATGTAGTTCTAGAAGCGTGTTGCTGTCAATATTCCATTGGAATGTATTGATTTTGCCATAAAAAGTTGCTGTTTTAAATGTTGGAATGACCAGGGGCCAAGACTTAAAGGAATAGTGTTCCCTCACACAACAATATAATGAGTATCTGGAATAAAAGAAGCACTGAATTGTTTCCTCCAACGTCTCAAAACAGGGATGAGTCACACACTGGTCTGTGGAAAATGCTCATGTCCGTAATAGCAGAATGTTTTCTAGCTGTTATTCAAGTGAAACAGATTAGCCTGTGTTCTCAGGGAGAACTAGCTCTGCCAACTAAGTAGGTGATGTGTTATTATGCACAGTGGGGACCATGTCATCCACAGTGTGCGTAGCATATTGTGACACTGATTTGAAGGAAATAATAGGCTGAATGCTTGGCTACACAAGTGGACCCCTCAATTTCCTTCCCCCACACACACACACACACACTTAAAGCATCCATAGAGAGCGATATAACAGCTTCTATAGATTAGATGTTCTTTATTGTCCCCAAAGGGAAATTAATTTTGCCCAGGTCAGTACCATACTAACAGATTAACAGTCAAAGTGCAAACCAGGAGACAAGATGGTTTTCTTTACACCATCCTCCTATAGCTGTTGATGCCGTGCTGAGCTATGAGCGACTTGTAGTTTTTATTAAGGTGGTTTGGTGGCCACAGAAACATCACAAGCGGCTGTCAGCTTACTTCAGCTGCAATTTTAAAAAGATATCTTAAGGGTTTTGGTGGTTTTGGTCATCGCATGTTTTTTCTTAAGATGGAGTTCTTGACCACTAGTAGTGCCATGGATCAGTGTTGTTTTGAGCTGATACAGAATATACAAAATGCTGTCAGACAAACTGGAATAAGATTCTTGTTCTTATTGTGAAAACTGTATATTGAAGGGTTGAATACTAAAAACTGATGGTTATTTCCTATTGGTTTTGCTGAATTCTCTGTTAAATGTTGTTCTTTCGTAAGTAGCAGTTTCTATTCCAACCATATTTCAAATTATCGTTTAATTATCTACTGTATATGTTAGAGATCCATTTAATACCTTCTCACTCCCCCTCTTCAATATTTCACATTTAATGCCAGGAAAAAGCTATGAGAATAAAGGCCTAATAAGACAAAATGGCCTAATTGCAAAATAAAAATTGATCACATTAAAAGTTTCAGAATCTGGCTGCTCATTAATGCTGCTACTGCTGCTGCTGCTGGATATTAGCATATTAGAAGGAACAGAAATAATTGTTTGTTAGATGTTTTTGTGCATGTTTAACTCAGTTATTTTTCATTTTATTTCATCACATTCAGCAACAAGGCAAACAGGTTTTTTTTTTTTAAATAATTGCTCATAAACATCAGCTGCACAGTGAAAAGGAAAGCAAAACACTGATGCTGATATTTATGTTAGTTGTGATTTGTTTGTCTGGGAAGCGTGCCAACACCGTCAATCAAAGAGGCCTAGATGAAGGGATGAAGGGAGTGGGAAGCGTTTTTTAAACACTGCTGAATAAAAAAAGAGCAGGAAGCACGCAGAAACAGGGTGATCTGCAGAGGAAAACAAACTCATTGCTTATTTATATCAGCCTAAATTTTTATTAGTGAGATTATCAGTACAGAATGTGTTTCACATTTTAAATTGACTCCCGAGTACTATGTACCCAACTGTATTTCTGTCGGCCTGAAGAACAACAAACATACAGTGACATACATAGTGAAAGCATCAGCACTTAGGATAGCTCTAAAGATATTACAGATCCTACATTCAGTCATCATCATGGCAGCTTGGCATTCAGCTGTCCCAATATCAACTGATGCCATCCGGATTCACCTGGTATCAGTAACTTTCTTACCTTTATTGAATCATGTTGATCCACTGTTCACTCCCAAAAGCATTGGGACCCTTGGGCTGCTTCCCCTCTACTTGCGTACATACAGTGCAACCTGCATTCATCTGCTAATGTGTGAGCAAACAGTTGCCTATTATTAATTCAGCTAGCAATCATTTGGAATTGTGTCTCTGGCCACTTGATGTTTCGGTCTCCACCGATTCCTGAGGGAAATATCTGTCTCTTCAGCTGCTGTACATTGCACTTGGTACAATGTAGAGAAGCACACAACATTTTTCAAAGGTTGTTACTCTGTGTGAGTGAAAGGATTTGCACTGCTGGTCAGTGCTTTTACATTTTGGAAACTTAGATACGTGCATATGCCCTCAGTTTGAGTTATGCTCTTTTGTGGTGTCTGACAGTGTAGTGTGTATTGTATTTATTGTTCTAACAATGGTTTTGTGTTGTTTCTTGGCAAAATTTATCTTGAAAAAGAGACTTTTACCTGGGAAAATTAAGGAAAACATCATATTATATAGTGTATATAGCGTATTTATATAGTGTAGCTTCAATACTCAACTAATGGGAAAAATAATACCATCCTTTGGGTAGGAAGCAGCACAAGACATTTGTCTTGTTAAAATATTACTAGATCCTTACTCTATCATTAACCACATAGTTTTAATTGCTGGTTGCTTGAAGCTTGAGCCTATTTATAATCCCTTAACTTGATATTAGTCCTAATAACAGTAATCTCACCCCACCTTTAGCTCTACACCTAATGTATTGGACAGAAATAACCCAACTATGCCCTCATCACTTATGTGAGGGCATTTGATCCGGAAGAACAAGGCAAACACATAACACAGACACACACACACACACACACACACACACACACACACACACACACACACACACACACCCTCCTCCATATTAGTCAGCAGCTGATAAATATTTGAATGCATCTCTCTGGCTCAGCATTCCATTAAATATGAAATATTAATGTTGCAATAGAAGTTGGGCAGTTGAAAAGAAAAGGTTAGACAACATGTTTTGAACTGAACAGAGGCGTGGCTCAGATCATAGGGATGTTTTAATGGAAGCCCCCTCCTCATCATTGATTAGAAGTGGCTGAATTTTCATGCATCAAATATCATTGTGTTTGATGTAGATGGTAACCCACAGTGCCAACACTCACAGTAGCAGGGATGAGATGAGAGCTCTTACCCTGCATTCATTATAACAATATTAATATTAGGAGATTTCCATCTCCATGTTGACAACACAGCTGACTGAAAATGGATTAAATAAATCATTTGTGCTGCAGTGGGTTTGCACAACATGTCAAAGGATCTCTCTGGTGACTGTTCAGAAAATGCTACCTCACAGTGTGCCATCAGAGTCCAAGGTGACATCATCCAATCCAACCAACAGTCCAAAACCCAAACACATTCTATTTACTGTCAGAAAAGATGAAGAAAACTAAATCATATTCATATTTGAGAAGTAGAAACCACAGATTTTTTGGCATTTGACAAATACATGGTTACTTGATCCACATTCCTGCCAACAGAGAGATAGCAATGTGCCAGCCAGCAGGGATGTAAACAATACCAGTTTCTACATATTTTAATAAATTGGCTTTCCAATGTCAGGTGAGAAAGAAAATGCATTCATCAGGTTTTCAAATATACGTACTACTACATTTATCCAATGTGTTTTGTGATTGTGATTTGGAGCTACTAGATAAACCCATCATGTAAAACAGCACTTGACTATCTGCTAGTGGGTCACTAACAGAGCAAAATCATAGTGTTTGGATGTCAGTTGGCAAAAACTTTGTTCACATTTCTAAAAGAGCATTATTATGCACTCATTTTGGTCCTTATCCTCCTCTTCCTGAGGTGTGTATGGAGGCCAAGAGTCATCTACAACTCCATAACTCATAATTAAGCCATACCCACTTTTGAGTGATCCAATCAAATTGTAAAGATTTGATTTAAATCCTCTCCTTACGTCTGCGCCCACATGTTGCGATTCCCTCTGGAATATGGCGCTCTATAGCAGCTAAAGACGCTCTCACTTCCCTTTCTCTGTGACTTTAACTTGTTGTATTTACTTAATTGTAATATCTCTGATTTCTATTGCAGTCTACTGTTCGCAAAATGTCCTGACATGAAATCACTGTACTCCATTGTCTGTCATCCAAATCCTGTTCACATAGTGCCTCCACCACCTGGGCCGGGGTTGCCCTCCTCCTGTGTCTCTCCACCCTGACTGACTTCAAAGCTGACATGAAAGAGTTTTGAGTCATTTGCAGCAATGGAGCTCGAGCAAAGAAAAAAACAGGTTTAGAAAGAGTCCCTTTACTGTAATATCTGCCTCAGCTGAGAGTATTATTCCCCTTGCACTACATTAGGGCTATTAAATTCAGGGTCTTACACTGATAAACAGTGCTTACTCGAGCAAATCGGAGGGGAGGGTGTTAGAGGAGAGGTTGAAATTAAACCAGAATTGGTTCGCAGGAATAAAGAGCACCTTAAGTAATGAACAAACTTGAGCTGCTCCTCCAGTGAAAACAAGGCTTTTACTGCTCACTCAATTTAAAATTCTCCTTTTATATTCGGTCTGGCTTCATCTGCCTCAGCCTTGTGTAGATAGGTAGCTTGGATCATTAAACGTATCCTGTCCCTTCATCCCACTGGTAATTAGGAAGTAATGGAGCCTTGGCACAGAGAAATTTGAGACCACAGAACAGTAGCCAGAGTGCTTACCGTGCCAGCACCAATCTGAGGCAGAGGAAGAGGCCAGTCCCAGTGATTTGACCTATCAGAGGCACCAAATGGCTCTGGCAGGACACTCCCTTCAGCCTCCGCTGTCTCCAGGGGCTGTCTAGTGCATTAGTTCTTTGCTGCTTAGCACTTTGTTGTATTGATTTGATGTCCTCTATACGTGAAGTGGAGGTTGTACAGACACTATTTGCCTATTATACTGAAACTGAATTATGTGAGGTTTCTCATGATAAATACAAAACAAAATACACAGATTGGGGCCCACTGTGGTGGTTTGTGGCTTATATTAGGGCAGACAGTGAAAAGCTGTGCTGGCAGAAGATTTATTTTTTTGCTATCCACTATTCACAAAGTACTTGTTACCAGTTTGTTTCACAGTACATACTGTAGAACTGGTGATGGAACTCCCCCACGTTTATTTGTACTATGTTTATCCTGGATTAGGATTTTACTTTCATTTAGCACGTATCTGCTCCCTTTGTGACTGTCTTTTCTGATGTCAGAGCCAAGCTGTGTTATTCTAAAATAATGTCTGATTGCATTACTCTCTTGGCTAGTACAAATACAGCAATCAGAATAGCACAATTCAAATAATCATCATGCAATCAGCAGGTGACTGCAGATGCCCTTATTCATCACAGTCAATATGATTCATCCTAAACAACTGTGAACCTATCACGATGTCACCCAGTGGTTGGTGGAGTACAGTTTTGAAGCCTAGAGTTTGGCATTATGGCCGTCGCCATGTTGTTTTTTGCAGCCAGCAGCAGACACGTACTGAGAGTTGAGTTGTGCTCATTGGCTGCGTTCGGTTTTGACTCGTCCGTAGCAGAAACGAATGATGGCTCGCCTGGTCACACATGTTCACGTATTACAGATAAACACTAAAATATGTTTCTGAAAAGATTTTAGGTGATAAAAAGGCAATGCAACAAACATAATCTTGATTCTTATTTCTATTTCTTATTTCTATTTCAATCTAAATGGGGCCATAATTTACAAAATGAACTTCATGCTGTTTTGAAGAAGACTTAAAACTAACGATTCAGATGATAAAGTCATTAGGAAACTATTTACTGAGGTAATAAATCAAGTAAGAATTAGGTTCATTTCCCATGAGACTCAATACTGTCTGGCTTCTTCTTTGCAGCCCATGGAGCCATTAGCTATTAGAAAGAATGCAGGTTTAAGACACTTCCGCATTAGCTTCACTTTACAGACCCGGAAGCTCTCTCCAGTAATTACTGTCAGTGATCCTAAACTATAATTTTGACAGGACATCCCATATATTCAGATTTTTATTCTTGCTACAATGCTCTCTCCTTAATATACTTCACTTTTACCTTTTGCTTCTTGCACTAACCTTGTCCTTGAAGGTGAAGGCGGAAGAGGAGGATGAGGAAGGATCAGTGGAGGAACAGGAGGAAGAAGAGGAGGAGGAGAACTGGGAGAAAGCACTATCTGTGGAGCGCTTTGGAGACATCATCAGCGACTCTGCTTCCACCAGTGGAGACAGGATGGGCCGACACTACACTGAGAAAGACTTTGAATGTAAGCTAAGCTGCATGTACAGTGAAAGTCCCATGTACACATTATATATGTGTGTCACTTACAACCTGTTTTGTAATCCAGTAGAGTATTGATCCACATTATTGTCAGAAAGCAAGCCCCTCAGAGTAAGAATACATTCGTTTCCATTAAATTGTTGTTAAGTTGTTGTATAATTATCATTATATTGAATAGTTTCAATGTGTTCCTTATCTTTAAACTTTTTTCTATTTAAACCTACAATATGTAATTAAGTCAGGATTCCTTCAGTGTTCATCGTTCAGAACAGTCTACTCCTCTCATAAAACAAGCAGACCCAGTGATTAAAATCTGAATAAAGCAGTTTCAGTTTAAAAATCACTGTTTCTGCAGACAAAGACATCCTGGGGGGGGTTGAGAGTCGAGCTGCTGCTAATGTAAGCTCAGCTTGTTTCTCTGTTTAACTTCCAGATCCAGACATCCGATGACTAAAATCTTTCATCCGGTTAAAATATGTAGTTAAAAAACGGTGGTTTAAAACTGGATGAATAGTCAATTTATGATAGCCTCTGGTAGACAACCACAACACTGACTCATGTGCTAAAGGGGATAGGACGTCATTGACAGGTGGATGGCAGTGTTGGTCGGTTCACTACTTTGGTCTTCACTGAACTATCTCAACTATCAGATGGATTGCCATAAAAGTGTGTACAGACATTCACTTTGCAGACCCCAGAGGATGAATCCCACTGACTTTGGTGATTCCCTGAATGTTTTTTAGTGAAATATCTGGTAAACTTATTGGATGGTTTGCCCTAAAATTTGGTGAAGTAATACCTTAAGGAATTTTGTGGTCCCCTGACATTTCCTTTAGCATCACCAGTGGGTCAAAGTTTCCACTAATCCACTCAAATAGGCACAGACACTTCTGTTCCCCTCAGGAACATTTTTAATAACTTAACCTTAACTTTTCATTTTGTGCCATCAAAATGTTGACCAACGCTTTGCTCTATGACATGTAACTATGCAACTAATGACATTCCCATCAGCCTCAGCTGTATTTTGTGTTTTGTGCCAATGGAAGTGAAGCTAGTGGAAATATTAGTATACTAACAGCCTATTACCATATTATACCTTCTAAACATCAGCAGGCTAGCACTGTCACTGTGACTATGCTAGGATGCTGACATTAGCATTTATATCATAATCCAGTTAAATATAAATGTCTTTATGTGTGTATAAATACATGTGTAAAATCTGATCCTGACCTTGTCTGTCATAGTTTGACTTGTGTTATATTAAGAGATCAGATTTAGAGCAGGGCATTAGATTCCATGTTTGCGAGTGTATCGATGGATTAGTAATAGAGAGATTAGTAGATGAATACCACATGCTCTGGTAGGAGATAACAGTGGCTCAGATTAGATAGAGCTGCTTTCTTTTGATGTTTATTAAACAGTACATTTCACCATTATTGCATGCTAATTAAAATCTAAAGCTTTTGTTTGTGTTGGGTCTTTCAAGTATTTAATAGGGAATTAGTAGGAGAGAGAGCGTCTCCTCTGAGACCATTTCAACACCATGTTTTTCTCTGCATGTTATATTTAATGGTTTGCAGCTGAGAATACTGTATTTGTTAGGCAGTGTGTGCTGGAAACTTAAGAATGTCTTTATATATAGGGTGGTACAAATTGTGTGATTTCAAGCTTACTGTTACTCTTGGTTTGAATGGATTTAGTGACGCAAATGCTTCCGTGTTATATCTCAGATTGCATAGATTAAATCCCAGTTTGGAAATGTTCTTTGCACAGTTTGGGGCAAAACCGATACTAGCTTGAGGAGCATTTCAGACAGGCTGAAATGTGTGAATTAGCTCATAATAATAACCTCCCCTATTGATGCTGCTTTCGCCCTGAGTACAGCTCATGACTGACCGTTTGCAGCATCAGTTTAGTTTCATATCTGCACAGTCATAAGTTCAGCATCTGATACTATGATGTACTTTGGATTTTATTCTTCTTATGTCATTTGGTTTTATCACAGACCACAGACACACATTTCACCATACGCACCACCCCTTATCCACCCACCTGCCCCTGCCCCAGCGTTTACGCAAGAGGGTGCACAGCTTGGACCGAAGGCGCAAAAAGAAACGGAAGAAAAAAAAGACCTCCCTGCCCCCCTCCGATGTTACACCCACCATCCACGAGGTAGACGAGGAAGAGGCTGAGTCTGAGACCGACGGACAGGGGATGGCTGCCACACCCACAGAGCTACCTGACATCCAACCACAGGTAAAATAAGATTGAGGAACCATGGGACCTCTACAGTGTAAAGGTGGCAAGATCAATTCATACAATTAACACAGGCTCTGCCCTGCTATTGAGATGACGCATGAAGACATGTAACTTCTGCAAGAGTGCATAGCTAACTATTACCACAGCATATCTGTTTGTGGTTTTGACAAATGACCAACCACATATTAGCATATTCCTCCCTTCTCACTGATCTTCCTCTTCCTCTCAGTTTAGTTTGGGGAGCCAAGAGGACTTGGAGGAACCCCTCCCACTCACTACCTTCCACACGGAAAACGAAGATCATCCACTGTCGAAGAAAGCTGCACCCGCTCTGATGAAGGGGGAGACTCATAATGGGGGAATTGATGTTCTTGGCCCGAATGAAGCATTGGATGGAGAGGAAGCTGCTTGCAGCAGGTAGGCTATTACAGCATCTGCGATTGTTCTGTTGGAGACAGGTGTCTGCATGGTTTTATAACCCCAGTAGTGGTACACAGGTATGGTGATATCTGGTATACACTGCAATATTATGTTATCAATATTTTCATATAAACAATGTGTAATGTGAAAGGCGTCGCTGCCCAAAGAGAATTATTACCTGACTCTGCAGTTTATCTCACCTCTGCTGAGTCTTCCTTTACGAAGCATCTTTCAGCTACATGCTTTGCTTTCCAGCCAGCAAATGTAATCTTAGGATCATTCTCACCTTACGTTTTTAGCAGCAGCACTTTTAAGCAAAAAATCAAAAGATACTCCAATAAATCAACTGTATGCTACATTCCCAGCGCCAAATTGCAGACAGTTAGCAAATGTGCTAGTGAATGCGGCCAGATAGACCAGCTAGCTCATGAAATATCGAGCTCTTTAGCGTTAGCATTTAGTTAAAGAGCTATTATTTCCCTTAAGATTAGGTGGAAATCAAAACCCAGCTTAAAGGAGAGTGAATATTATACATGCTAACATGACTCGACACGACATGAGATGAATGCTAATGTTGCTACATGCCACATGCTGGATGTGAAAATAGGCAACTGTTTGCTTACAAGTTTGACACAAAAACTGTATAAGATAATCCTTTTGTACCACTTATTCTATGGCCTCCATGTGGCTTAAAGAAAAACCTGCTACGTTGTTAGTAACACCTTTACTTTTGCAGCTATCGCAAGACAAAATGTCTCCTGTGAGAAAGGCCTATCGCTGTAGTCAACACAGGTGGCTGTATTGGACGAACCTGAGCCACGTTATGCTCCAAAACACGTCCATGGGAATTACACGACAAGTAAATCGTATCCTTTTGGTCAGCTGAACAAGAAAACACAACATTGATATCTTCAAAATGTGTATGGCTAACATGTTAGCTAACACGGGAGAAACATGGAGCAACATTAGCATTCTCCTTTTAGCTCTGTTTTGGTCTCCAGCATCCGTCCAATATCCGTCTCTATAGCTGCTAAATGCTCCACTGTGTTCACCAGCTAGTCTCTAACCTCCGTCTGTCTGCTGTGGTGCTGGTAAGGTAGCGCACAGCGGGTTTATCAGGGCTTCCTCGCTGTAAACAACTGCCTGCTGCGGCTGTGAACGAGATTGATTAGAGCAATGGGAATGAAGTTAAGTTGTGGGCCATAAAACTAAAACAATCAGCTTGAAGATGCTGAAACCCTCCGCAGAGCTGATGGGAGCTGCAGAGCTGGGTGATGAATTCTCTCTGGGTTCATCAGTATGAGCAACTCCTCCGTCTTTTAATCTGCTGTGGTTAATTGATATAAAAAACGAAGACGCAGCTTGTTTGTAGTCAGTTCATACGTCTGTTTCACCGGGGAGTGTTTACTGGTCATGTAGAACGAAACATACATTGCACAGAAGTAGGTTGCTATGGTTACCTGTAGTTTAATATGCCTTGTCTGGCTGGTTACCCGTGGATTGGTTCAACTCACACAGGAACAGTGTTTGTGGTGTGCTGTCTCTTACAACCTTCTGCCTGCCAGTCAGAAAGATTGGGTAAGAGAGGAACACTCTGGAACAGCTGGATTAAAGATGATTTGAAGCTTTCTTTTGCTGACCCCCTGTATATGTTAAACACTTCTAACAAAGCAGATACTTTTCTAAGTAGCACAAAACAGAACATAGGTCTAATTGCATGCAGAGACTCCATTATGCAAACATGCATAACTACCAGAAAATGAATTAATTTGGGGTTTTTTTGTGTGTTTTTTTCCTAATTATTAAATCATGTATGGAGTTTGCTGCTGGGGCCCTGTGGGGATTCAGGTATTTGTCTGTACTAATGCCTGCTTGAATAACAGCACAGAAACGTCATCATGCCTGTGCCATGCAGGATTATGTAGCTGTGTTTGAGTGAACGCAGCAGAGGATGACTCAGAGGGTTGGTGAGGAGACCCTGGCCTGTTGCTGTGTTGTGAAGCCCTCTACTGGTGTAGAGACAGCAATGCAGGGCAAAACACAGCATTTCAGCAACAACAATCAAATCTTTTATCGGAAACATTTAACTATTTTAACATCTACATTTCAACACATTGTGTCCTTCAGATATGTATTAAACTCTCTATTGAGATGAATGTGAGAACATCCTTCGAGTGTCAAACTCTGCACCATTCTGCACAGTTAAGCTCAAACATCCAACTGCAGGAACAAGAAGGCAAAAACCTATGTTTGAGTGGGGGGGACTATTCTTACCAATCTGTGTGTTTGCTTTCTGTCAGTGTTCCACCAGGATCAGATCCCTCCAGTTCAACCACGACCCGCGGCTGGTTCCGTAGGAAGCCCGTCCACCATCGTCTGGCCGGCGCCCAGCGAAGCAACTACGACCTGCGAGAGCGAATCTGCATCGGCAGTATGACTGCGCTGGAGACGGCCGTCTACCAGCAAGTGCCCACCGATGAGGCCGAGGCCCAGATGTTGGCCAGCGCCGATCTGGATGACATGAAAAGTAAGGGAGATACAATTGAGGGCTTTTGGGTAACAGTGGCTCTGTCTCGCAGGTTCTTGTCGATCCTGGTGGAGCCTCCTGCCATGGTCCTGCTAGATTGCCATTGCCAATACTGTTGTTGCTGTGCACCTGTCTGTCTGTCTCTCGCTCTCTCTCTCTCTGCCTCTCTCTCTGTCTCTCTCTCTCACCCCAACTGGTGGAGACAGACGACCACCCACCTAGAGCCAGAGGATCTGTCCTAGGTTTCTGGCTTTTAACAGGCAGTTTTTCCTTGCCCTTGTCGCCAAGTGCTTGCTCATGGTGGTACTGTTGGGTCTCTGTAATTAATGTTTTAAAGAGTTCGGTCTAGACCTGCTCTATTTGAAAAGTGTCCTGAGATAACTTCTGTTATGAATTGGCGCTATACAAATAAAATTGAATTGAATTGAATTGAATTGATTGTGTTTGTAGACATACAACATGGCCATATAAAGAACTGTTCAAAAGTGTACTTATGTGGTTATTTTGAGCAGTCATGACAGCCTTGTAATCGTTATTCGTTGGGTTTAAGTGTTTTTTTATTGGGGGGGATTTTACCACCCTAACCAATCAGATGTGAATGACATATCTTTGCTATCAACATCATTTTGATTAAAACTACCTGTTCAGCTGTGACTCATCCATGCTGGTTCCTGGCTTTTTTTCCAATTCGGGAACCAGCTGTGGTACCAAGTTCAACACCAGCCTTTTTTTAGACACTGAAAAAAAACAGAAACCGGTCCACCAATCCAGTGGTCTGGAACCAGGCTACATGCAGTCTCCGCTGACCCTCGCTGTCTTATTGTACACCTCAGGGCAGCACACACAGATAGATAATTAGCTAATACGCCAAGACAAGTGTCGCAGTTTGCTGTAACAACGTGATATTCTTCTCAACCTTCAATGTAACATAGCGTGAGGGAAAAGTACTGTTGCTGTGTTTGCTGTAAACTGAGAATTGACCAAGTGAATAATGTTCACAAGAACAATGTTTGAGGTGTCTTTAAATAGACACTTACCTGCCAGGTCATTAAAAATCCAGACATTCTTTAGCCTTCGTTTTGCAAAAAAACATATTAAACCTTATAATGTTCATTTTTTATTGATACAGCAAAGTTAATTTAACTCTAAGGCCATTGTTATTGGTGTATTAGACTGCATTATATTCACAGGTGTATTTTAATTATTTATGTAAAGTAGGGGTGGACAACATATTAAAAACACCTCCCAATAAAGTGTAAAGAACTGTAGAGTAGTAGTAGAGTAGATTACTTATTTTCAGGGATTTAAAGTAGTTTTTTTTGCCTATCTGCAAATATAACAGGGGTTGAAATCTGAATCAGTTGCTATCTTGTGGTGTTTTGTCCCACAAAGTGTTGACATGGATGGGCCACTTTACTGTAACCAACACATGAAAACAAAACTACCATTACAGTATATGTTCTCATTGCTGCTGAGAAATGAAGGCCGTGGAGCAGGGGGATGGGAGATTATTTCATCTGTTGCTAAATCTACCTTCTGAGATGACTCAATTCTACTTTTCACCCACGCCACAACAACATTGTGGGGGGATCTTTGTGAGGTGTCTTTTTCTAGCGTGGCTGTTATATCTCAGCCTGTGTCTGTGCTCTACCAGATCTCCATCAGACCTCCCTGATAGCACCTGAAGTGGTTGCTAGGATATTTATGCTATAACTGCCAAGGCTCTATAGCAGTTCATGTAGTCCCGTATGACACAGGTTTTCGTGTTGCTCAGTCTGAATACTTACACTGGTGATTCATATTCTCCAAATACAGAGACTCCTAAAGAATCCTATTTTTGTTTTCATTTTGTGCTATTTGTGTTATTAGGATTATTTATTTATTGATTGGAGAGTCTGCAGTTGGTTATGCACCAGTCATTTAATCCTGCTTTAATGCTAGACACTACGCTGATGATGTATGAGGTGCCTGCTTAAACTGAGAAAGATAAAAGGTGTAGGATAAAATTTGTAAATGACTGCGAGGAAAGAAGAGAGAAGACTGGGTATGATTAAAAATAAAGTACCATTTTTTTGTTGCACCAGCACCAGACCTTAACATAAATGGATGCGTCTCCAGACTCTACTCTTCCCTTCTAATACCTGACATGATGTACAATAAATCCACTTGTAGGCCTATTTTACTATCATAGTAATAACATGTCATGGTCTCTTCAGTATATCAATTTTAAATGTATCCAGAAACAACATGTCAGTGGTCAGTTGGTATTGAGTCACCTGCATTTTGGTTTTAAGGCTTGATTAAGCCGTTTTTATGTTGAGTTTAGCGCCCCCTGCTGGCAGTGGAAAATACAACTACACGGTTATCTAGTCTGCTTACAACACATTAATAGTTCAAATAAATGATGGCTATTTTGAATTTAAATATCAGTATTAATATTAGTGCATGACTTCTTTCTGACCCTCTTTAGTAATAAAGAGATATTATAATTTCACCCAGTGCCCTTTTCTGTCACCATACACATAATTATTTTCCTTGACTGATAATGACTCAGCAGCTGCTGCTTTTTGGTTTCTCGTTCTTTTTTGTGAGCCTCTAAAACATAATAAATAACTTAAGCTCCTTCTTATTTAACCTAATGTCAGATTGTCCTGTTAATAGAACAAGAGACAGGTCAAAGAGCATCTACAGAGAACTGTAGTTATATCAAAACAGTTAGTCCAACAGATCTAGACTGCCTTTTTACTAGAGCATGTTAATGCTGTTTAAACAGGATTTTCTTTAAATGTCAAATACAGAAAAAAACAGTGACCAGTTCTCTATAAATCATCCTTCATTTCAAGTATGGTAAGAAATGTCTCAAGACAATGTACTTGATTCCAGTGATATTGGAACAGTAACTTTTGACAGGTATAGTTAAAATATTGTTAGTTTTCCCTCCTCTTTAAAATGTCCTAGAGAGCCTGTCACAACATGTATTGACTCCCTTGCTGCTCCAGTGATGACCATTGACAAGTTACTGCTGCGTATATTTTGGCTCCACTATGGGCGTCCCACACATTCTGTCATTTCATGAAACCAACCCACACAGCTCCTGGCCCCCACATACACTGCTGAAATGAGCTTCCAACAAAACAACACAAAGGATGGAGGACAAAGACATTTTAGTATCTACTTCTAATTTCTCTGAATGATAATCACATTAATGATAAAGAGAAAACTCCAGAATACAGGACTTATTTTACCCTCATGTATACATTCAGCTATCATATATTGATTTACCATTTGAGACACTGAATCAAATTCATCATAACAATTTATTACCATTTCAATCTGAGGCCCACTGTTGTTAAGTATGTTGATGAGGAAATGATTTACACAGTTAGGGTTGAAAATAACAGTTACCCTCTTCTCCTCTTCAAAAACTGATTATTCGCATAAATTAAGAGTGCTGGCAGACTTTATCTTACCAAATGTCTACCCAAAGTAGCTTTTGTTCTGCCACAGGAACAAATGTGTTTAGAATGAACAGAAAGGAAACAGTTAAACGTATTGTGTGCTGCAGCTCCCCCTGCTGGCCAAAGTCAAACACATATCATTTTATCTTTTCAAATAATTTAAAAAATATGTTTTTTTCCCTTTAAAGGAAAGCGTGGATGCATTTTTTCTGTTGCAGTTCAAGTATGAAATATGAAAGGATTTATTTGAAGCGGTAGACATATATATGGTTTTCTACCAAAGTATCCTGACATGACTTCTTGCTTTCACCTCAGCAAAAGGTTTAGAGGAGGTGCTGAACATAACTGGCTACAGAAAATGATATAAAATAGCATATTTCCTCACTTTAAATATTCCAAAACCACTTTAAAAGAATGTGTGGATTAAAAGGGACACTGTGTCTTGTAGTAGGAGCAAGGCTGGAGGCGAATTTATGCAGAATTTACACCATTTTTACACTGCCAGGTGGTCTTTTGCCTGTAATAATCCAGTGTTTTCCTAATTTGTCAAAATATCTGTGTACTCTCTTGTGCACATAGCAGCAACCAGCCCACTATCAACTTGTGGAGGTGAAGATATAACATCAGAAAGTACTTTCACCTGCTGATTGTGAGGACATGCAGGACAGGCTGTCTAAAAACATGACACATCATTAATAACATCCCCCCCCTCAAGTGCATGGTAAAATATAGAAAGGGAAAAAGAATAAATTGGAGAGTGGAGGAGTGAGAGATTGGCAGACAAAACCGCGTGTTGCCAAAGAAAAACTCTCACAGCATCCAGGGGCATTAATTAACAGAGGCTGCAGTCGATTCCCCTTTAGCAGCGACCCTGCCCCTGGCCTTTCCTGCTTTAACAGAGCAGAGTAATCATTGACTGTTTAGGAACCATCTGGAAACAGAAAACAGGGCACTCACAGTCACTCATTGGATTTGTAGGGAGTTATGCTTGACATTGACAGGCCACGTATATCACCACTCTATGTCCCTCTGTTCTACTGTGGCCATCTGTAATCCGGTCAGGTTTAGTCTTATTATGAACGTTTGAGAAGTAGAGTGTAAGATTCGGCTGCTAGTTAAGCCTACAGAGTGGTGATTAATCTTGGTAAAATGATCCTACTGATTGCATCACTTCATTTTTAGTTTTTTAGTGAATTAGGAGCTTGCTAGGTTGAGGGTAGTTACTACCTTTTTCTGGGGCTTTCAACAGTGACCTGAGTATGGGACCTCAGTCCTGTGTTAAGTAAAGTTATCCATTACCGTTATTGATCACCGTAGGGAAAGTTGTTCTCTGAATTTCACCCATCCTAAGTGTTTGGAGCAGTCAGGCAGCCACTGTGCAGCATCCAGGGATCAACTCCAGTTGTAGGCCAGTGCCTTGGTCAAAGGCACTGATGGGAGAAATTGACACATACATGTTTTTGATGGTGGGGGAAACTGGAGCACCCAAAGGAAACCCATGCAAACACAGGGTGAAGATGCACTTCTATCAGGGGCGTATTG